CCAGTATTTGGGATTATCTTTTTGACATTTTGCCACCCCAGTGGGTAGAGTAATGTGTGCTGGAGTGGTTTATGGAGCTGACTGAGCACATTTCTTCCCAACTTCTTATTCAGGAACCTCATGCTGGTAGCATAAAATTAGTGCTAATGAAAGTATTTGCACCATAGAAACTGGCAAGTACTACAAATGAGGACTTCCTCTATCTTCACAGAGCAGGTTTTAAAATACATACCAGCACGCCAGTGGCTATGGCAGAATCACACTGCATTTCTGTCGTCTCAGTTTGAGCATCTTTCCTGTGCTTGCTTGCCATTCTGGCTTTTTCTTTCTACTCTTGAACTATCTACTCCTATGATTTTTAATATTTACACTTATGAACTACCTACTCTTATGCTTTTTAATATTTACATTAGGTTTTATGACTGGTTTTGGATTTGCAAAAAGTTCCTTTATATATTTCAGACAGAATCCCTAGTTGCTTTTGTACACACCTTCTCCCAACCTGGTAGCTCTTTCCCTGGGGCATTTCTAATTAAAGAGAAGCCTTATTGTGATACAGTCAGATACCTCAGTCTTTTGCTTCATGGTTTATGCTTTTACAGTAATTTTTTTTTTTTTGCCCCAGCTTTTTGTTTTGTGGAGCTGGAAATTGAATCCAGGGCTTTGCACATGGTAGGAAAATGGTCTACCATTGAGCTACAACCCTAGTTCTGTGGTCATGCTTAATGAAGTAAATTCTCACCCCACATTCCTAGACACAGTTTCCCACTTTTTTTCTATCTTTCATGTGTCAGTAGCTAATGTAGCTGGAGTTTCTGTTTGTATATAGCTGATGTGGGGCACATGGCAACTTTTCATTAATTAAGCCAGCTTCCCCAACACCACCTTCTAAATAATTTACATCTCATTGGTTGGTAGTAATATATTTATATCCCATTTATGAATTTGCTTCTGAGTTCTGCACTTTGTCTCATTGTTCTATTTGTTCCTGGAGCAGTACCATATCATTTTTATTACTATGTGGTAATGACATGGTATCTGGTAAGGCAGTCTCCCCTGTTTGCTCTTGCTTTTCAAAATCGACTTAATTTAAAATTTGAACATTTAAAATTGTGTTTTTCCTTATGTATTTCATAATTTAATTGAGTTCTTTAAAATTTTATTTCTTCCACATTTCAGTTACACCAAAACATTGAACTTAGGGGTTGGAAAATCATACTCTCTATGGTTTGTCTATTTCTTCACATTTTCTGTCTTCTTTTATGCTGAGTTTTAGAACTTTCTCCATAAAGTTCTAGCAAGGTGTCAGGTTGACTTTTAGATATCACGGTTTTATTTTTTTGGTGGTGGTGTTAGGGATTGAACCCAAAACCTTCCCACTGAGATACATGCCCAGTGCTTTTTAAACGTTTTATTTTGTGTTCCTAACTTAGCCAGGCTGGGCTTCCACTTGCAGTCCTCCTGCCTCAGCTCCCCAGAGTGCTATGATTGTGCTCACCACGCCCAACTGTGGACATTGTGCTTTAAAGTTTTATTGCTGTTGTGAACTGTCTATTATTGTCTATTTCCTACTTGCTCACATTTGATGTACATTATTGATTTTTATAAATTGATCTTTTCACTTGGCAACCTTGCTGAACTAACTTATGATTTCTAATAGTGTGTTGATTTTCTCATTTTCTTATGTTGATAATCATATTATTTGCAAACATGACAGGCAGGAAGATTTCAGGAGTTCTTCCCATTATGGTTATATTTTGCATATAACGATGTCTGCTAGCTAAGCCCCTGTCTGGTGCCCAGATTCTGACAACTGAGTGTCTCTCCTAAGGCCTTGGTCTCTGTTCATTCACACTCCGGTAATGAGTTTCTTCTTCCTCCCCTTTGAATAATAAAGTGTCCTATTCCTAGCCCATGGAAGAGTACTGACTCTGCTTTTTGCATATACAGTATTCCTCTAACCCTTCTCCCCTGGTGTGGTGTCTTGTTACTGGTCCCAGACCTCTCTGATGCCTACAGCTTTTCTGAATGATCCCTGTGCTCTTTGCAGCCATTTTTGGGTCCAAAAGGACATTCCATGTGATGATCAGATCAGACATAGGTTTGTCTCTTATTTCTGCGTTAGGTACACAGAGCAAGTGATACAGCTTCCTGGCGTGCTGTTTCTTCATTTGTAAAATGAAAATAAAGCAAGCCCATAGGTAAAGTGCCACGGAGCAGACAAAGGAAAAGTGCCTTTTCTTCATACTGTGACACTGACCACTGATACTGCTTCTCTTCTGGCACTGAGGTTTGTTTTTGTCTTGTTGAAGAACTTTGCATCTTCAGATGTAACTGAATATCAGCAAGTGCAGCTGGATCATATTGCATGTGCCTTCCCACTCCAATCGTTCAAGCTTCAAATTCTGGCTGCAGATTATTGTCCAGTCTCACTCTTATTAACTGGGCAATGCCTAGATTCAAGACCTCTGTGACCCAGAGGATGTTCCAGGGACTCTGATGAGTGCTTGCATTCCCGGTAGGGAATAACTTCAGATTTTGGAATAAAGGCAACCAGATGAGTGGGGCACTTTTTCCCTGGTGACTTGGTGTCCTGGCAGTTTGCCTATGTATTATATGATGTTTGGGTGTAGCAGAATAATCCAGTGGCCTAGCTGGTTCTAACAGAGACCTTTATTATAGCAAAGAACAATTCAGCCAGCCACACCTTGTCACTTACTAATAGTGGTATCTCAGAGGGATAATTTAAGTCAGCAATAAAAGTGAACTGTGTACCTACAGAAACTTCACCAATAGCTCCTTCTGTTAGCAACAGATCTTTATGAGTCTCTGTGGTTCAGTGACAGACCTTATAAGCGTTTAAGCCCACCAATGGTAGGCTGTCTTCCTTCCTTCCAACCAGATGAAGAGGTGGGGGTGGATGAGACAGGCAAAGGGTGTGATAAAAGCAGGGAAAGGGAGGTGGCATCCTCCAAGGGAGGAGGAAGTATCTGTGTCACATCAGCATCCCTGAGAGCGCATGAAGATGCAGAGCCTGTAGGGACAGAGAAACTGGCAGCTGACCAGGGACGTGGGCTGGTGATGGTATTTAATGTTGCAGAAGCAACGTGGGTTTTACTTGGCAGTGTGCTCCACCCCATTCAACAATGCGATGTGACTGCTACAAACAACTACTTTGAGCTACGTTAACTGAAGCATAGGAGCTAGAAAGAGGTGGCAGTGTCTCCTCTCTGCATTCCACTACGTTCGTTCCCGAACATCACATTTAAGAGAGCTCAAGACAAGCAGGGATGCATCCTAAACAGTCCTTCAGCATGCTGGTGAGTCGGGCTGTGAGCGTGTCAGAGAAGGGGCAGCCTAAGGGGCACACAATACTTGTCCTGGGTATCTTGGGGTTACACTTGACCTGAGCTCCTAGGGTGGAAACAGGATCTAAAGAGATCAGGGAGGCCATACTTCAGCTCCCAAAGAAGGAAATGTTCCAAAAGGGGGTCCAGGATAAACCGGCTGTGAGTTCCTCCTTAGGTAGTACTCAACCACCGCCACTTGGCGGGAGGATGGTGTAGCGCTGGCTCAAGAAATTGCAAAGGTGTTCTCCTAGTCCCTGGAATCAATGGTTCCAAAGGAAACTGAACAGTGTGCGGTACACTGTCTCTCCGCTCTTGCAGAGACGCTGAAAGACGTTTATTCAGTCATTCAGCATCTGCTGCTGCCAGTACTTTGCTTGGTGAACACGGAAGATGGCACAGTAGTGTAAGCAGGAGAAGGGAAGGGGAAGGGAGGGGAAGAAGGAGACGGAGAGAAGGTAGATGGAGCGATACCTTACGTCCTGACACCACAGACTCACTGTTGCTAACCTCTGTCCTGGTGGTCTCACGTCTCTTCATCGAGGGGACTCATTAAATGCCAACGCCTTTCTTTCCACAGCCGGACTGCAGATCTGTTAGGCGTCGCGGTTTTAGCACTGCCTGGTTTTGGGGTGGTGGCCAGTGTAGAAGGTGATCAGGACAAGAGGTGGATGAGGCAGGGGGCCGAAGAGGGGACATCCTGCGGCGATGATCCCTTGTCCCCTCTGCTGCCTTCCCTTTTTTTTTTTTTTTTTTTT